TGATCTGGTCCTTGCTGTCATCTCCAGGTGTACTACTTGCTAAAACTTTACAGTCATAAAACATACTAAAAACTTTGTATTTCCTTTGACATTTCCTGTTGAATTGTAGAGGTGGATTCTTGACCTGAAATACTTCTTTAACATCCCACTCCTCACACTTGCCCAGGGGCCCATTTATCAACTTCCGTTTTTAGCCTTAGTCTGTATTATTCAATGTGAGGTGATTTTCCCCCTCAGAAGTTGGGGTGATCTCAGGTTTGAGTTAGTCAGACGCCTCAGTTCATAGCACACTTTCATCATTGGTTAGTGCAAGTTTCCTTTCTTATTTTACTTATGTATTCCTTTACCCACTCCTGTTTCCCACCCTCCACCCTGATAAGGAAAAGTTCTATTGTATTTGATATGTATTTTTTTGAGGGGGCAGGTGTTTTTACAAAATATGTATTACCTAATTATGTTTAAAATTTTACACTGTTATGTTTTAAGGGTTATTTTACTACGTAACTGTAATCTCATGCTTCTAATTGTTGCCTGGTGTACAGTTTTCATTTTACCTACCTACTGTCCTAATGGTTGATGGCTATCCTTGACATCATAAATAACATTGAACATCCTCATACATGGTCACTTATGGATCTTTGTGAGAACATTTTTGTGGCACATATATCAGTATATGCTGGTATATGTTTATCAACTTGCTTTCTGTAAAAAAAGTATTCATATGTGTGTATACATATGTAAATATATATATGTTTATTAATATGTGTATGTTTATTATAAATTTTCTTGGTATAGAAGACATATAGCACACAATTTACAAATAATACTAAAATATACAATTTAGTCAAGTTGTATTGTAATAGAGCCAGTTGATTCTCACAGAATGCTTTCATTGATTTTTGCTGAACTCTCGTATCCCTGGCCAAACTATGGTTTCAAGTGATGAATGAGTATAGTTCTGACATGAATATTGGTTGGTATTTTTCATTTATGTTAATGAGTAGATGAAGGTGAAAATCATGAAGACATATGTTGAAACTTCATTTGTTCATAAATGACAAGAGAAACTTCTTTGCTGAATTGCATAATGGTTTTTGAATACTGGAAGAACATTGTACTATTTACAAAGAATGAATATAGACATAGTAAACATTTAAATTTAATCTGCATTATTAACATTTTCTCTTCCTTCACTATCCTAAGTCTAGAGTCAATCAATAAAACAATAAATCAAGACCTGATATATGGCATTTGATGTTATCCATGGTATAAATACTCCCACCATTACCTATTTCAAGCTGCCAAAGAGCTATCACTAAGCAGACAGATCAAAAGAGATGTGCAATAGCACTCTATTTTATAGAATCTACTGTACAGGTCAAACAGTCATAACCTCGAGACCATAGATAATATGATGTAGTAAAAAATTAGAAAGAGATGAGTTTTGAGTATCAATTACTTTGTTTCTAATATAATTTATTTAATTATAAGTTTATATAAGTTAACTTTTAATAATGGCTGTGTTTTGCAACAGATTATCTTCTTGGTTTTTCTTCTTTTGGTGTATATTTACTCTTTGAGGGAATCTCATATACTCTTAATGTTTCAACTTCTTAAATTATGCTCTGTGCAATACTTCACAGTGACAGGTCTAGCTAGAAAAATCTATAATCAAATACATTTAAAATTTTTTGTATGATTCATAGTGTAAAGTAACATTCATGAAGTAAAGTAAATCTTATGATAGTTCTGAAGTAGAGAACCCTCTCAACCATGTTTAAACTAGTCCTTTCCAATCTTATTGGAGCACAGATCACATCATGGTGCATTTATTTAATCTACTGAAACTGTGTATACTAGTTTGGGAAATATTGGCATAAAAGTCGATAACTTCCAATATATATATCCAGTCCTTCCTTTTATCGGCACTCCCAAACTGAATTTCCAGCTGTCTCTTATATGCCCAGAGGCACTTCAAGATTGTAATTGTCTAATATTTGGCCCATTCTACATCAATGACTTCAAGCCAAAGATCACTGAAGCACACTTATAGTTAAACAAATTTAGCTTATTACTGGTTGCAATGAGAGAGAATGCACAGCATACTGAAATGTAGGGTGTCTCACTAAGAGGATGTTAGAAAGATCTTATTATAGAATTTGGGTTTAGTTTGAGTAATTTTGGAAAGGATCTAAGGAAGCAGAGGTGAGCTCTAGGTTGGGTGCTATCAGAGAGCAGAGGGCAAATCTGTGATTGGGTATCTCAATAAACTGCATGTATAGGAGGGCCAATTAGTGTGAGGATGAAGCTGTAATTGGTAAAGAAGCAGCAGTCACTCATTTTAGCTGAGGAAGGGGAATGTTTGGTATTTTCTGGGTTTTACAATGATCATCTTTTTGTCTTATTTAGTCACGGTCTCAGAGTTACCTTGTTTGACGTTGATGTTTAGTGAAATTGTTTATGTTCAAGAGCAGAACAACATGGCTTAGCTGTGAGCATCAAACTGACTTGCAATAAACATTGAGGCCTAACTGTGTGTAACAGACCAGGTCCAATATTAGGAACTGCTTTTTTAATTCCTTAGATCTTTTTACAATACTTGCTCTTTGTTCTGTCTTATTTACTGGCGTGACCTTAGTCATCCAAACAAGAAACATTTGGTTAACTTCAATCACTCATCTCTCTTATTTCTGACATTTTAGTATTAGTTACCAATTCCCATCGTAAGTATCCATGAAATGTCTTTCAAATTCATTCCTGCTTCTCTTGTCTCACTACCTAGATTCAGGCCCTCATTATCTCTTACCTAAACCATTGCAATTGCCAGCAAACCGATCTTCCTGATTTCCTAGTTTTACAGCCAACCATGTTATCTTCTCACTGTTATCAAAACTTTCTTCCCAAAACATAAATGGGATCAGATCATTCTTCCATTTTACAACCTTTAATGGCTTACTTTATCTATACATTTTGTTATGCAATGTATAAGCACCTACTCTGCCATTTAAGGTCCTTGACAATTTCGTGCATCTTAACTTCACCATCTCACTTGATACCAGTCCTAACAGTCACCATACATGGTCTATGCTCCCAAATTCATTCAATAAATATTCATTGAAAGTCTTTATTATGTGCTTCCACTGGGTCATGTTATTTTCCTTAAATAAATTTTAAAATTATATAGCCATTAGTGTGCTTATTTAATATCTGCCTCCTTATTAAACTCTAAACTCAGTGTTACCAGTTACCACATCTAGTTTTGCTCATTATTTTATTCTCCGGCATCTAGCAAAATATCCAGGCTGTTAAGCAGTCTATGTGAAATTTGTGCCCTCATGTTAAGTAACAGATGTGGAGTGGGATTGAGTACCTGGTTAAATTCAGAATGTATTGAATAGGAAACAGCAAAGTCAGACTTTCTTAATATTCAAGACTATTACTAATAGTAGAAGATGAATAAAAAGCTGCTTTTGTGTGACCATGAAGTCAGATTGAGCAATGGAGTAAATGAATCCTCATAAAAATGCAGAATTTAGCTAATATAAAATGATTCTTGGTTAAATTCGCTTTTTGACTCAACGTTACATAGATCTGAGAATAAGAATTCTAAATTGATGTGCTGAGACCTTTCCAAGAATGAGGAAGCTAAAATTTGATGAATAACTAGATGCTTCCAAGAGAATATTTAAGTAGATTTAAAATCCATGGAATAGGAATCAGAATGCTTCCATATCTAGTACAAATATTAAAACCTATTAGCTCTGTACAGGCCCTGGGTAAGTCACTTCATCTTCCTGAACCTCAGGATCCTCACCTGTGAAACTAGGGTAGTGGATGGATGGTCTACATAGACTATCTTATTCCACAAGATAAAAAGTATAGCAGGTCCCCACCCCTGCCCCCAAATGCCTTAGAAGTCTATTTCAGATTTCTTGCATGAAGAAGTGGTGAGTATCCACTTACCATCATTATTTTCTATTTAATCTAAAAGAAATATTTTTCAAGGATAGTTTAAAACGTTCTCTACTTTCCATTTCTGAATCTCCTGTTTAAAATACCAAATCTGGTCCAATGAAATGTCAAAGTAGGTCTTTGAGGGGTTCAGCATGCATTTAGTTAGCTCCTGGGTCACTAACCTCTTTTTGCTCATTATTGCCTGCCTCCATAACTTATCTCTAATTGGTTCACTTTTTTTTATCCTTTGAATAATTGATTGCTGAGCTTTTTAGTTCCAGACTCTCTCCTTTAGTGTACAATATCCTACGTTGACAATTCTATAATAACTGTGACAGAGACTGAGAGTTTCTTCCATTACCTGTTTTCTTCATCTGATATTGTACAAGAATCACGATTTTTTAAGCTGGGACAGCTAAAACTATGACTTACCAAGAATACAGATTATTTTAGCCTCCTTTATAGATAGGTTGGTCACCTTACTAATTTTTTACAAAGAGATATAAATGAAAGTGGTCGGTGCAAGTTATGTTTAAGTGAATGTGCCTCCTTACCCTTCCTCCTTCCTATTTGCTGGAATGTTGACATAATGGCAGAAGCTCCAGTAATATTTAAAAACATACAGATGAAGGTCACAGAAAGTAATGGTAAAGTAAAAATTTTGAAGGAGTTTTGGTCCTTGATTACTTCATTGAATTGTCATACCAAGTCTAGGCTTTTCCTTGAGTGAAAAGGAATAAAAAACAAAACTTGTGTATTTGGGCTACTGTAAATATGGGTTCTCTGTATTATTAGAGTGAACCTAATTTTCTCTAATATAATGATAATGGTAATCATGTTAAAAAAAATTTCAGTTGATTTACCTACTCATTTTTCACTTTCCTTCTCATACAATTATCTATCTATCCCAAAGAACGCAATGCAGTGTGGCAGGATAATATTATAGAACATGAAACTTACATAATATAAAATAAGAATATCTTTCTCCTTTCCTTGTCCCCTCCAATACTTTCACCTGAATCCTGAGAGCTTCTTCTCTTCCCCAGATAAAAGGACAAGAATCAGTCAGAGCAGAGCATAAAGGCTACAGAAAGTATTAAAAAAATAAACAAAGAAAAAAAGGAGGAGAAGAAAAATAGCCACTGGCTAATGCAGAATTCAGAAATCTTAGAATACACACATGCAATGTTAATTTTCTTGCTTGGATGAACTGGTTAGAGTGTGTGGGCCAAAGAGAAGAAATTGAAAGAACCATGAGGCAAAAGAGAATGTGCTGGAGAAACTAAGAGCCTTTGCCAAAGTTTCAGAAAACTGTGAGTTTCTTGTTTAGCAAAAACCAGTTTTTGCCCATATAGTGTTAGGTCCCAATTAAAACTTGTCTATGTCAGTCTCACAACTCCATCCAATACATCTTCTTAAAGGCGATCCTCTCTCTGATGACCAAGGACAGTTGTAAGCCTCTACAAATGGATAGTGAGAGACTTGGACACTGAGGTTTGATTTTTATGTGAAATGGAACCTTGCATCTATTCAAGGTAGGAAAAATGAAAACATTTCAAAATCACACATGGAATAGTGGAACTATTTTGAAGTTTAAAAATATACAAACAATATGTTGTAGGATAAAATTAGAAAATAAATGAGGCAAAGGGAAAAGAAAGGCAGGAAAATAAGATCGAAGCAGGACGAAGTTTAGTATACAAAATGGATGCCACAAGGTCCTATGCTTTTTTAAGGGATAAGCCGTAGGTTAAACTCCAAAATTATAGTGCTAATTTATAGGGACAAATAGGGTAATTTTGATGCTGAAATTGTCCATAACTTAAAATATGTCTGGTTTATAAGTATAATTAATGCTGATACTAAGATGACAGAGAAACACCTCAACTAGGTCCTTCTCCCTGAAACTATCATGTCATGAAAGATTTTCTCAACATCTTTATAGCAAACACAGTCATTTTTCTTGTTATTTACTGTGTGTCTGTCCTTAAAAGGGTGCTTATATTTTTGTGTTCTGTAGCTGGAGGGCATTCTGGGTTTTGATTCACCAAAGTGTTGTTTCAAGATATTAAAGATCAAGTTAATAAAAAGAGGAGGGGGGAGTTCATCTCCCAGCCTTGAGAGACTAACAGGGTCTGGGCTTACTTCCTGCTATAAACAACTAGAAAACTGAATAAAATGTATGGAGTTTCATATGTAATTCATATATAATTTTCATACATTGGACAACAGGCAGCACAGTGTTGTAATCCCTGAAAGAAAGCAAATAAATGAATATAGACCTATTTAAGGTGGTTTTCTATGCTTTCAGTGTCAATATTGATTATACTTCTTCTAAACAATGAGCCATATTTTATGTTATGAATATTTTGTTTTAAAATTTATTTTATTATTGTATTATTTTAAGCACTAAAATCACACTTAAATACCATGGTGTCATTTAATTTGTCCTCTAGCTTCTATATTTCTTATGAATTGCTACTTTGATCTGGAGGCTAAGTAGCATTCTGATTTTTAAAAAATAAAAACGCTTCATTGGTAATATTGTGTGCATCCATGAGAAGGCATGAACATTTGCCTCCTTCTGTGACATCAGTACCTATTACGATCATTGTCTAACTCCATGAATTTCTTGATGGTTCCAAAATGGTGATATTTTAATTTCATCATTTGTTCATTTAAGAGTTGTCCTACTTATATAAAGAGGAACTTTTCCTTTTCAACGATTTGGTTATCTTGGGAGTACAGTCACATTAGGAGACAGGATAAACACTTGATAGCCTTTATCAGTTTTAAAACTGAATTAGTTTCCTAACATGCTTGAAACATTGACTAAGGAGTTTTTTTCTTTTTAATGCTTGTTTTAGAAAATAAGTACTAACTTTGGGAAAAAAAAACCTACCTCATTGGGGTCTTAATTCAACTCAGTCAACCAGTTGGTCGGGGAATAAGAAAAGCTAGATTATAGTATTTCCTGTAGCTACCAGAAGTTACATATCGGCTACTCAACTACTTTCTTCCTCTCTTTTCCTAGATTCATTTCAAACAAATTGAAATGTTACCACTCCTTAATAGCTTTCTTTTTTCTAGGAGAAAAATAAACTGACAGGAACAAGAATCCTAAAGAAAAAACAGGGTAGGCAGAGGGGTATGGATCATCTAGAGGTGAGTATGGATTCACAGACCAATCAGGTTGTGGGGGAGGCTGTAGCTGGGCTGCAGTTTCATCAGGCAGGTTGATTTCCCAGAGTGAACCAGATAGAAAGATCCAGAGAGGGAGAAGCAACCGTGTTTTAGGACACAGCAAAGGTAAAAAAGAAGAAAATCAAACTCTGTTACTAAGTTCAAGAAGTGATTGCTAGGCTGAAACTAGAGGTAAAGGAAAGAATATTAGAGGCTGTGTAGACCCTAAGCTGAAGAGAAGATCAAGTCAACGGTGAAGTCAAAGGGTCTAAGATCATTGCTTTAAATAAGTTTGAGAATCCAGGGGTCATTTTTGTTGAGCCATTTACACAAGACTTGAACAGAAACATGTGGAAGGAAGAAATTCTTAAAATGCTGAAGTGCTCAGTCCTTAATTTATTCTGGGGTGACCTAATATGTTTCAGATTTTGGGAAGGTGGTTGATTATGTGTGTTTGATTATCTGCTGATTTAAATGCTATGTATATCTTTATCTCTTTATCAGAATAGAACTCAGTTTTAAATGGAGTTGCTCCAGTTTTTATTATTTGGATGATTAAAAAACTGTTAATTCTAATAGTGCTTAAATTAAACAATCATGAATAGTAACCTCTTGTCAGAGATCCTAGATGGAAGGTTAACAATTGCTTGACAACATCATCATCCTGCCTTGTTAAAACCTACCTTCTTTATTTTCAATGTTGAGATTTAGCAGCGCTAAAGCAGGGCTACGACCAACCTATAAATAAGATACTAGAATTCTTACAGTTGCCTCAGTTTTATTATATTGGTTGTTGCTAAAAGAGGATTATATCTTACTTGGTGTATGACCAGTCATCCAAATAAGAAACATTAACAATTAAATAAATAAATAAACCCCAACCCCCACAAATGAAAATTCAACAGAGGTGAAAGGAGCAATGGTATAGTGTTCCACCAATGGAGACAGATCAGCAAGGTTGAACAGGTAGAACAAAACTAAATAATTAGAAATCATGAAAAAATTTTAAAAGAAATTGTATTTCATGTGAGAATGCTGCATGGGTCTTTACTGCTGATAGTATGTTGAATCTAAGTAATGACAGAAGTAGTTTAAGAAATGTCAATTTTATTAGAATTTTGACAATGTTCTAGCATTAAATGATTTTATTTTATGTTCATCCATGTAGAATACTCTATCTAAACAGAAGTGAGAAAAATGAACTCATGAACTTGGCAGAATGACGAATCACCCATACACAACAATTTCATCTCAAAAAACAAAAGCCCGAAGCTAGTTTTAGATTTAGATTTTACCTTATAATTAAGATTTTTGCAAGATAGCTTCCACAACAATGTAAAGAAATGGTCTTTTTCTGTGGGATTTGTGACTTTTTTTTCAGTTTTCAGAAAGTGAACTTTAAATTTTTGTATTGTCATATTTAACACAAGAAAACCTGATAATATTAATATTTTTAAATGTAGGAGTTGATTATAATGTATGGTTGTATATTCTTAATGGAAAGTGATCTCTACATTGATCGACTGATCAGAGAAATTTTATGCCCTAAGTGTACTGGAACATGATACCAAAAATAAAGGTGCATTTATGAAATGATTCTGAATTTTTTTTAAGAAACAGGGTTTCCTATGGTCATGCATATTTAATTTATTTAGTAGAGTTGGTCTTTTATTCATTGGCTTTACACTGAAGTTTTCAGAATAGTACCGCTCTGGTGCTGTAGTTAAAAAAATTAGTCATTCACTAAAAAATTAGTCACATTACTGCTGTGGAACAAAGAAGCCATGGGAGTTCCTAGTTAATGCAAGCAAAGGTATTGGAGTAACATTAAGCTTTGTTTGACCCAACTCTTTAGCTATTTTAAGAAAGAAAAGCTTTAGCTTCTAGTTTTGATGACTCCATCTTGTATCAATGTACTTTAGAGTAATAGGCTTATAATTACAATGTTATGGCTTTTAAAAGTATTAATAAATCAAAAATCTTGAGATGATATATCAGAACTGGAGTAGTTCCTCTTATCCATGGGGGAAATGTTCCAAAACTCCCAGTGGATGCCAGAAACCACAGATATTACCTAAGTCTAAATATACTGTTTTTTCCTATACATACATACTCGTGATAAAGTTTAATGTATAAATTAGGCACAGGAAGAAATTAATAACAATAACTAATAATAATGTTGGCTTTGGGGCCATTATTAAGTAAAATAAGTGTTACTTGAACACAAGTACTGTGATACTATGACAGTTGATCTGATAACAGAGATGGCTACTAATTGACTAAGGAGTGGGTAGCATATACAGTGTGGATACGCTTGGCAGATGGATGATTCACATCCTGGGCAAGTTGGAGTAGGATGATGCAAGATTTCATCATACTACTCATAATGGTGTACAATTTAAAACTTATGAATTGTTTATTTCTGGAAATTTCCATTGAATATTTTCAGACCAACTTGACCGAGGGTAACTGAAATCATAGAAAGTGAAACCATGGATAAGGGGGGGCTATACACTCTTTTCTAGTTATTTGCATATTTTATTATTGAATACTACATTTTTTTCAAGTGAGAATGTCTTATATTGTATTAATCCTGTAAATCTCTCCTGATTTCCATGCTTCCCTTCTGCTAATTTGCATTCTTTGATTGTAATGTTTGGGCTAGCAGTAGACAGGCAGAGAATAATTAGATTTTAGTTCAATATTTAAAACTGCTAAAAGCTTTTTAGCAATCCACACTCATTCCCTGATTCTATAACCCAAATAGTTACCATACTAGTTCACATTTGGATTCAACCTCATGTTACAAAAGCAACTCGTTATATTTCTCCTAACCCAAGCCCTCTCAACTTCCACTAAATTCTTTCAACTTCCATTACTTCTTGTGTAGTGATTGGCTCCATGATCATCCCAGAAACCTGAGATTGTCATGAATTTTTTCCTGTCTCTTGCTTTTTGCATCAATTGCTGTAGCCTGTTGGTCCTTTTTTTTCCTAAATACTTCTCATATCTCTCCTTGCTTCCCCATCCCTACTGCCACATTTCTAGCTCAGGCATTAAACATCTGTCACCTGCCCTGGAACAATCATCTTAGCTGGCCTTTCTGCTTCTAGAATGACACCATCCTGTTGAAGCTCCATACTGCATCCAGAGTAATCTTTGTAACAAGGACGTGTGATCATATCGCTTACTTCCATACACTTCTTCACTGGTTCCCCATTGCTTACAGGGTAGATTTTAAATCTTGTCACATGGCGTATAATACCCTGCCTCTCTCTGCAGCTTCAACCATTAGGACTCCCATGCTTTCATTTTATACACCACAAATACTCAACTACTTGTAATCCCCGGCACACCCCACTGTCACAAGACTCTGAGCCTTTGCTCAGCCTTTTCACACTGCTTGGAAATTGCTTCCCCACCAGTCTATCTGATAAATATCTGCTCTTTCTGCATGCTTTTGTAAGATACCCACAAATCCTTCTTCTCTTCCATCATTCAGAACTTCATCACTCTAGTTGATCTCTGAGGCCATCAGGACTATTCCCAACACGCCTTTGATTTCTGTGTATTTTATTCCCCACTTGAAGCCCTGGACTCTCAAGCCCGTAAGACGTGTGTTTGACCTCATCTGACTCCATTTTTTAGCCGTATTCCCAATTTCATTCCCTAAACTCTGCTAGTGCACTCTTTGGAACTTGTGACTTGTTCTTATTAAAATATCTTATATCTTCAACTTCTTCGTTAAACATTTCTTTTACCTTCATGTTCTAATAAGACTTGGTTGTACATTGATCACACTGTTTTTCATGTAACTTTCTCAGGTAGTGGCTTTGTTTTTTCTCCTATGACCCTTGTGCCTCTGAGCCTGAAATTGGAATAAATGCTCTTTTTCTTTCTCTCTGTTATGTCCAGAACATAGTCCCTCCCTCCTTCCAAAAAGCCTCCAGTGTTAAAGCTTCTGCCGTTAGATTATGTCATTCGCTATTATTGTTTCTGTTAACTACACACAGGCCAATCTCTCTATTCCTTGAATATTTACGTACTGGTTCACTATCACTTTCTCTAGCACAGCAAATAGAAAATTTTGATGGTTTCGATATTCATATAGATTCAAGTAGATGAGTCTTGCAGTTCCCCGCTCTGGTTTCCCAACTCCTTGACTTCCCTTTATTTACCCTATTTTTTCACACTAAAATGGCCAACCACTCTCATTTTCTTACTCTAAACTAGCCATAATCAACAGCTGCACTCCTCTCTCCATAATTTCAATTGTAAGTATCCTGCTTTCCTTTCCTTTCCAGCATTTTATTACATAAAAAGTTTTCAAACATATGGGGAAAAGTTGAAAGAATTTTACAATAAACACCTGTATATTGACCACCAAGATTCTGTCATTAACATTTTACTGTATTTGCTTTACGACATTATCTATCTATCTACCCCTCTCTCCATCATTAATCCATCTTATTTTAGGTGACTTTGAAAGTAAATTGCAGACATCAGTAAACTTCTCCTTTATTACCTCAGATTGAATATCATTATCTACAGTTTAATATTTGTTTACAATAATAGTAATTCTGTCTCTCACACATGCACGTAATTATTTGTGTCCTGCTTTATCACCGGATTGTGATCTCGTTGAGAACATCTCCATGATCCACTTATGTTTTTATCCCTAGTGGCTAGCACAGGAGCATTTAGTAGGTAATAAATAAATGCTAGTTGAATGCATGTAGGTCTCTTCTCACAGTAATATTAATCTAGTTAGTTAAGATAATAAGATAAATCCCCCTGGATCACTCAAATCCAGAATTAAGTTACTTTGACAAATCTGGCAGGAAACATTCCCAGGATGTGGGGACACTTAGCCTGCGTTCATAGACAAGTCACACTTTTTCTTGAAATGCTTTTCTCACATTTCATTGCATCCTACAGAAGTGATAAAATTGAAAGTTACTGCATGAGCAAAAGGCATAATGCTTAACTGGTTTCTTCAGAAAGTCATGCTTATTGCTGTCGTTACATTTATTTTCTATTATGGCTAAGTAGAGGCTAATATTTTTATTATTAGTTTAGTATGCCTAGAATAATTATGGTTATAGTCTCTTAATATAGAATTACTTCTAGAGTACATTTTACCTTTGAGCTTAGTTAAGAAAAACTGTATCTTATATAGCAGAAAAATACCATTAAGGAATAAAATGTTCATGTCAAATCTTATTAGGTTACATGGATCAGACATTTAATAAACTGGATACAACCTGACTTGGCATTTAGACATCTGTATTGATTTTCCATGGTTGCCTACAGTATAAGTTATACTAATGCCATCATCTTAATAAGAAAATTAGGACTGTGTAATATACTATACTCCCAACAATGTAATTGGATAATTTATCCCTCTTCCTAAGAGAATCAGTGAGCATACTTACTGAACAGATGCAAAGAAAGAGAAATGTGTGAGATGCTCTGACAGGATGATGCCATCCACAATACTAAACAAGAAGCATGTGTCATAAATGTGAACCTTATATAATAGAATAACACCTTTTAAAACACAAGTGTGATAATAAAACCATCTGCTTCATAATGAGCTTGCAAAGTACATCTGGTGTTGCTATATTGTCTTACCAAATTGTTCCTAAATGCATTTTAAAAACATAAAGTGAATACAGATAGTTTATAGGTTGAGAGACTAAATGTCCAGATGGCTTCCTTTAGTACTTTTACTAATTTCATCGTTGTATTTCTTAATTAAGCTCTCTCAGTAAGCATGTAACTGTTAAAAACACATTGATTAAATGAGTGTTTGAAGGACTCAGATAAGTAGTGTTTTCAATTTGGTTGTGTAAGTTGAGTACAGTTTTACTTCTACTTAGTTATTCCTTTCCAATAAAATAAATGAAAAGACAACATCACTAGAGTCCTTATTTCAATCATAATAACATGTACAATATGACTATACTGTTAGAGGAAATAGCAAAGCTCAAAATGGTAAATTAATGTAGAGCAGACAGTGGGTTATGACTAAAAGGCACTTAAAAACTTAGTCTAAATTCAGAAGACACCCTTAATGTTAATTGTTTTTGACATCAGATAATTTACTATGTCTTTAGTAAGTAACATTTGAGTTGGGAATAATTATTTTCTGGTTCATCAATATTTCACAGGCAAAGTTCTTCTCTATACTAGTTGGGGAAAAACTGCAAAGAATTTACGCGTGCTAGAAGGTTATTTTAATAATCATATGGACGACTCTTTTCGTTATAACCTTTCTCTTGTGAGAGTTGAACTGTTTCCTTAGTTAGGATTTACTTTTGCATGTGTGTGTCTCTCCTGTCAATATATTTGTTTTCAGTAAACTCTCATTCCTTTCGCCGTCCTGGCAGGAGAGGAAGGAGTCTTTCTGTTAGAATAGTTTACCAACTCTTAAAATCAACATTTAAAAATATTTAATTTCTTATCTGGCGTTGATGACAATGTGAGCAAAAGGCCAGTGCTCTTGGTAGGTGTGTAATACTCTAATATTCTAGTCATTATTAGAGAAATTTAATGATATGTGTTAAAATGTAAAATATTTATGTACTCTGATTTAGCAATCTTATTTTGAGAACTATAGGTACACTTTGCAAATGTACACAGACATATTTACAATATACTCTTATTCATTGATAGTATTCCTTGTACTCTAATTGTGAAAACTTGGAAACGAAAAATTGTTGGTAATAAGGGACAAGTTAAATAAATTATGTTCTGTATGCTCATCTTTTTGTTAAAAGGAACCCAAAGCTATTAAATGCTTTAAATGCTTAAAAACAAAGAAAAATATAAAACAAACACAAAACGCAGTTAAAATGATTCTGTACGCTTTTTAAAATCTAATTTGTTTTCTTACTTTGGATTTGGATCATAGGAGACTTCTTTCTATGTTACATAGTTCAATTATACTTAAATATTGTATGACCAGCATGCGTTACTATTATAAACTGACAAATAATAAAGATAATGAACTATTTCAATGGTTGCAATGAATACTTGGAGTGACTTCAATTCCTTTATCTCCCTTACTCCTACATGCAACAATTGTTAACCCTTTCATTTCATCTGCTTTTGAAATCTTTCTCATCCTTTGCTATTTTAAAATCCAACCCTTCTCATAACACACCTGTTACCCTTTCAATGCTAATGTAAGAGTCGACATAATTGCACTATTTTTTTTTAGGGTAACTATTTTTACTCCGATTTCCGTTGAACATTTCTTTCTGAAAATTTATTTTGCATTCAGAATAATTTGCTTCCTGTATAGAATCAACAGACCTGGTGTTGGTGGTCTTATTTTTAATCACTTCCGCAATGTAGTTAATCCAGCACATCCTAGGCTTTTACCCCCCTTGCCCTAGAAGTGTCTGCTGTGAAAACTGTAGAATTAATTTGTCGTACAATTAAATGCCATTAGATTGATAACACAGACACTCACACTCTCACAGACACAATTAAAAAATAAAAGCTAAGAGACTGTGAAAAACATTGAAATAAAAAACAGTGCAGGATTTAAGCAGTATATATACTTCTTATCTCTAAGAAAATTCCAGTTGAATTCACCATCACTAGCTATAGACAGTAGAGGCCTTGACATCTATAGCTTCACAAATGAGTATCCTAAAGTTCTTTAAGGAAAAGCATGGAGCAAATGCAATTAGAATTAGAGCTTTTAAGAGTCAGAATGGATTTTGGTAATATAAGAATACTAACTTCCACTTTCTATTTTAGGTAAGGTCTAAACTAATAGGTAAAGTAATAAATATATAGTATTATTTCAAAAACTTTGAAGATAAGCACTTGGATAAGTAAGAATAATTATATAACCAGCCCAAATAAGATGATAGAAAAGAAAATGAGGAGGGAGAAATTGAAAGTATTAAAATTTCCTATTTCTTGATAGTGAGTGGCAGTGGTAGTAAATGGCCACTTTCTAAAGACATGTGGAATTAAATATATATTATAAAGTTGTATTTATAATGGAAAGTATATGGCTAAAAACAGGATGATAAACTTCTAAGTTATTAAGACAAAAACATATTCACTTTCTATATATTCTAAATTATTATGACAAAACACTTAAAGTCACTTGATCTCAAATGATAAAGCATCCTCAGAAAGAATTACTCCAGCAAAAGAAAAATGGATGAGGTAATAGTGTAATTCAGAAATCGGTAGGGAGAAAATAAATTAGGAAACTTATTGCTAACTCTAAGTATAGAATGTTTAAAATGCTTAAAAACAATTTGAAATGAAAATCCCAATCTATATCAACATGGGAGATTGAGGGACCAGAGCAAGTAGAGAGAAAGAATAAGAGAGAAATACCATATTAATGTTCTTGTCCTGTTGGAATGAAGTCCATATTAATGAACTCTAGATATAATAAAAAAAAATGAAGTGATAAAAATTTACTAATGACCAGAAGAAAACAGTAGAGTGTATGATTTAAAACCAATAGAGGAAAAAAGAACAAAAAAACACAAGCCCCCCCCCCCCACCAAAATAAAAAGATACAGAAGAAAAAGCAAGAAGTAGAGTGAAAACAAAACAACAAAATGAAATAGTGGAGAGAAATACAAACATATTGGTAACTGCAGTAAAAGTGAATATGGTAAATGCACCTATTAAAAGAAACAGGTGCTCAAATTAATTGTTTTTTTTTCCTGAGGAAGATTATCCCTGACCTAACATCTGTGCCAGTCTTTCTCCACTTTGTATGTGAGTCGCTGTCACAGCATGGTTGTTGAGTGGTATAGGTCCATACCCAGTATCCGAACCCTTGAACCCAGGCTGCTGAAGCGCAGTGTGCCGAACTTAAGCACTACACCACAGGGCTGGCCCCTCAAATTAATTTAAACACGTTTAAATCTAGGTAAATGCTTGTAATAAGAGATGTTATATATATGTTCATTATAACATTGAATAAGCAGAGGAAAATGGAAGCATGTTTCCCAGTAATAAGAACAATTCGTCGTGAAGAACAAGAAGATGTAATAATTGGAACTTTTATGTGCCTAACAAATTTGCTTGAAATTTATTAGACAATCTGAGAAATATAAAATCTACAATCATAGTGGGAGGTTTTAATATCCATCGCTCAGAAAGGACAGATTAAGGGGCCCAGTGGCATAGTGGTTAAATTCGTGTGCTCCACTCTGGTGTCGCGGGCTTTGCCGGTTCAGATACTGGGTGAAGATCCACACACTGCTTATCAAGACTAATGAAAGTTACAACCTCAAATACTAAGGTTGATCTAATAGAATTATATGAATTTTCTATTGCTGAAATATAGAATACAGATTTCTTTCAAACAAAGTCTTTTTCAAAATTTTTTATGTTTAGGCCTTGGAGTGAATCTTAACAAAGAGCAAAAATTGTTTTCCTGCAGGTCACATTTCCTGATCTCAGTACACTATAATTAAATGTCACGAGATAAAAAAGTTGCACAACTAGAAAATAAAAACCCACTTCTAAATAACGTTTGTGTTCAAGAGGAAATACAAATGGTAATTATTAGCTGTTCATAATTTAACAAGAATATGTGCATCACATATCAAAACTTGTGGTTGTGGCTAAAACAGTACACTCAAAAAATTTAGGACTTAAATACTTATAAAACTAATGAAAACATTGTAAACAAATGAACTTTAATTTAAGAGATGAAAAATAAAAAAAATAAATAAAAAATAAAAACAACATACCTCCATCCAATTTAGAAGAAATTAATTACTGAAATTAATGAAAAAGAAATATTAGAAATAAAGTACAGATAAACAAAAATATCAGAAGATTTTATCAATGAATCTAATATTATTTCTTTGAAAATAACAATAAAAAGAACCTTTGGTAAAAATCATCAAGAAGAAAGCAGAAAGCATAAATAACTTTAGGTAATTATTGCCTGTATTGCTACCAGGTAGTAATACAGAGGTGATGGCAAGCTTTATGGAAATAAATTAGAACACTTAGAGAAAATGGCAAATTTATAAGGCCATATATATAACCAAGATTCCTAAAGAAAAAATTAAAATAAGTAGACAAATGAACTGTTAGTATGTATCGGAGAATTTGTCAAATTGGAAAAACATGAGGCCAACATGCAAAAATTAATCGCTTTTCCTTACCTCAACCATAACCATTTAGAAACTGTTGAGTAGAAAAAGGAAGTTGAAGTATCAGTTCAACAGTGTTTCTTTTTATGTAAACACTTTCCCCCAATTAAAAGATAATACTCTTTTTCTACTGCTACCTCTATATGTAGGTAAACATATTACATAAAAAAATTATCTGAATGATTTCATGCTAAACTAATATTAGTGGTTATTCTGGAATAAGAAAGGGGGCTAGGATTGTGGGTGGTGTTGTCATTTTAAACATTACAAATAAGACTGTAAGTAGTCTAATCTATAAGATAAAAGCAAAGGTCTTATCTGTAATTTTAAAAATTTTTAAATTTTTTAGTAGAAAAAATAGACAAAGTAGATTGTTTTCCTTTTTTTTGCTTTCACAATTAAACATCAAGTGAAAAGGTAAAGACACAAAAAGCAAAAAAATTAGTAAAAATTAGTAATACTCTGCTGGGAGATTGTTTTATTAGGAGAATGTAATGAAATGCTGAGTCCTCCATTGCAGTTTGCCTGTAACAAAGTGAGCTGCCTGCTCACATTGTAAATCAACATTGACTGAGGCAAACTGGGATGTATGACCACCATAATTATGTTAATATGGAGCTCTAAATGCTAGCAGATCATTCTAGTGGAGGTCAGTAGGTATCAATGATATTTCCCAGTCTAAATAAATAGCTTCAAGCTGCAGAACAATAGAAAGGTTTTAGAGAAAAAGCAGAGACACAGTATAGGGGCCACGTGCTTTTCATTTTTAAGACCAATTACTTGTACTGGTTTTGCTCTCAAAGGTTGCAGTTTCAAATTGAGAACCCTCAGCAAGTAGTCAGAAGGTTGTGCTTTTATTATGTGCTTGTCCCCTCTGATGTTAGAACCTTGGTTTGCTTTTATACAGTCTATTTGAATTGTACCCAGCACAAGTTGGATCTTTATGAATGAATCAGGGTTCTTTATCCCTGAGCTCATGATCAAACTCACCATTTCAGTTTGAAATTGTTCATTCAAAAGACTTTTGAGTTTTCCCTGTGTTTAAGTCACTCACTCTCTTAGAAATTTTGACAGGAGATATAGTCACTACTTTCAAAGAACTAAAGAACTAAAATTCTTTAAGAATAGTGATTTTGGGAGACTTCATTATGAAGGTGACTTGTCAGTTGGCTGAAATTTTTGACACGTGGGGTTTTGAGGATATCCAAAATGTAGACCACAAAGAAAGGCACAAAAGCAGGATTTCAAGAAAGAGGAGATAGGAAAAGAAATGAATATAAATTGAGTACTTTTTACCAAGCACTATGCTAGGCACTGTCCATACGTGTTTTATTTAACCCCCACAGCATGTATGTGAGGTAAGTCAGCTCAGTTCATATGTTTCACAACTACATACTCTTTTCTTTTTTCTTCTAATTCTAAATTCGAGTTCCTGGTTGGGACTTGGTGGTAGGACAATTAACCTGTAATAGAGAGTCCTTGGAACAAAGAAATGGGAGAAAAGACTGAATATCTTTAAGATCAACTTTTGGCATTTTTATCATCAAGCTAAAGAACTTGAATTTTAGTCTAGAGATTTTGTAATCACATCAGTAACATCTTCTATTCTTGCCAAAGTACTAAGCAATTAGGGTCTATAAGGGAAAGGTAATAGAGCGGGAGAAGGGAGAGTAAAAGGATCTCATTAAGGTCCTCAAATGTCCACTGAGATATTTCTTTGACATTTCATATGTATCCCCAGGTATCAAATATGTTCTCTGAAGCTATCTGGATCAAGGATCTCTCTCTACTTTTACAGAGAATAAAGGACAGTGATAAATTGTAGGGGAGGAAGACAATTTGACAGTCTTCTTCTGCTAAAGGTTAGGTGTGAAAGATTAACTACATGCTTTATTTATTCATTATGTATATCTTTCTCACTTGCAAAAATGAAAGCACGTAAACTTGATATAGGCTTAAGGGGTAGAAGAGTTAGAAAGAATAAATTATTTGAGAATCAGCAGGTTGTGTGGTTAAACCACAGCAATGACAACCTCATATTGGTAATATTTCCGTCTTCCATGAAGACTGGTTGCTGCTAGGGATATTGGATACCATAAATGTGCCATATGCATATTTTCCAATACTATGTAGAGGACAGAAGGAGGAAACTTAGATTGTATAGCAACATAGATATCAAGAAATATAATTTGAATAGAAAGAGTAAGAAATAGAAGACTTATTGAACACCATCATTTTAAATTATAAGTTATGGTCACATATAACACTATTACATATGCAACTAACACCTGGATGTTTGGCGAAGGGGAAAAATTAATGGGTCTTGGAATAACTGATGGAGCAGATATAACAAGAAATACAATACCAAAGAGGCTTGAAAGGGCTGGTGATCATGACAGTTATGATCAGTATACTATAAACAATCAAATTTAGCCAGGAAGAAACAAACAAAAAAAGAAACAGAAAGAGAGAGAGGAAAGGAAGACTGGAATGAAGGAAAGAAAGAAAGAAGGAAGGAAGAAAGGAAGGGAGGAAGGAAATGAGGAAGGGAGGAAGGAATGAAAGCATGGAAAGGGCAGACTAAAAGAACCATGTAGAAGGAGGAATAAATATTTATCAATAAAATATCGGAATGGTAAGAATGAGTATCAGTCCAAACTCTACTTTCATAAATTGAAGACAGATAGAATTTTTGTCTTTAGTTCCTCCCACTGCTCCTCTTCTGGTGGATAGTGGAGAGGGAGATCGAGGTGGTGGATTTCTGATGATGACTGTTGTTTCGTGTACATGTTGTGTATCTATAGCAATTAGCCTTAGTGACTTTGCCAATCCCATTGCTGTATTAAAGCTGTATACATTTTAGTCTCACCGGGGCGTAAATCTGATTAATCTGACAAGCCAACTAGAGTACCTGAGGCTCAGCTTTCTAATTTGCCTCTCAACTACTGTCTGTCACAATTTTTATGACAAAGCCTTTTAAAGTATAATATGTTGTTTTTGGATTATTTCCATGAAATAATTTTCAGTCAACATTGACCATTAACAAGAGTTGGCCAATTCTGTAATTCTCCTATCGATTTTACTGCATATCTTCCTATAATTTTTCTCACCAAAGTATCATTTACATACAGTAAATTATACAAATTTTATGTGTAGAATTATATATGTGTTACTTGCTTCGGAATTATGATACTGTTGACCTTTGGAATTGAAATACTTGTGTTTAGAATACTCTAATATAGTCTATGTTTACTTTACATTTCCAGCATTTATAATTTTGCATTTTTTCTAAAAATAGTAGCTCAAGGTGGAAGTTTATGCCAAATAAAAACAAAAGAAATAATTCATGTTTTATTTAAAGAATTTTATTTTTAAGAATTAATTTTATTTAATTTCCTTTTACTGAATAAAAAAGCCACAAATTCACACAACTTGAGGGAGCTCAGAGTGTACAAAATTTAAAACTTTACATAATCTGATTTACAGAAATTCTGCCACATTCTCCTTTGCACCTATTAAGTGGAACCTGCTATTCCTCACATTCTTATTACCATGTAGCCTCAGGAATGGAATCTTCTTTACTCTCAGCTTTGTTTCGCTTTACAT